ATTAGCGCTATGAAATGTTCCATATTAACGATAAAATAATATGAGAATATTATTACCTTCATTAATCAAATTAAACCAGTAATTTAAAAGGCAATATTCGGATTAAAAACATATTTTTACTCAAATTACTATGTAATAATATAAGAGACAAAATATTCAAATAATAGATTGAGGAAGAAAATGATATTTCTTTCCTTATATTATTGATTTTAATATTTTTATATTATACAATAATACACGGACCTTAAAATTTTATTACATTATGATAAATTAGACTTGCAATTTATTTGATTTTAATATTCAATAGAATTTGAATTTTATTAATACATTTCAATCTTTTAAAACAACATAAAACAAATAGTTTACGATCCTTCGAGTAACTACATTTTATAAATTCTTATAACAATACAATATTTTCTATAAAACGGGACTTTTTGAAATAATAAAAATTTATATTTCATGACTGAAATAAATATTTATATTATAGATATTTCGATTATTCGGAAAGTCATTTTTAAGATCGTCAAATTTTAAAATATGACATAATAAAATAGAATATTTTGAAGTCAAATACATATATATAATACGAACATTAATTGAAAATAATTTGTCCTTAATATTCGAATATATATATATATATATATATATATATATATATATTCAAGAGATACCCCCACTTTTGTGTTTTTATCGTACGAGTAATGTTAGTTAATTATTTTTAAATGCTATTACTATGATCTTTTCGACTAAAAAATAATTTCTTGAATGCTTCACTTTAGTTTAAATATCGAAGATCAAGTCGTATCTATTGACAATTAATAGTAGATATTCGAATTTATTTTCAACAGTTCGTACAAACTTTGTGCCATATTCATTGTTGGGACAAGTAGAAATATATTTATCTCCTCAATCCAATAGAAATATTCGAGGAGCAAACATTATTAATAATTCTAACATAATTCTTCATACTGTCTCTCTCTCTCTCTCTCTCCCTCGTTAAATAAAATTTGCTCGATTTTAAAGTTTCTTCAAATAAAGTGGAATAGGATATTAAATAATATTTTTCATAGTACTCTATTTTATAATACAAATTTCTCATCAGCTATAATTGTTGTATAAGTGTTAAATAATAAGTTTATAAATTGTTTCATAAGTAATTTTAAACTTAAATTTACACAAGGTAAAAAGCTATATTATTTTAATATTTTAATATTTGTTCATCTAATACAGCAAAAAAAAGAGAATAAAACTAAATAATTAATAAATGTTTGTATAAAAAATAAAAATAGTAAAACTGGTAGATAAAATAGGAATAGTAAAATAGTATAAAAAATAAATCAAAGAAATGTGAAAGCCATTGTATGAAAATAGGAATTTTTTCCATTTCAACATTGTATGATTACTTAAAATGCACAAATTAATATTTCTTAGGCGCAGGTCCGTATGATATATTAAAAAAACAGATGCGGTGATAGTGAATCAATAATTAAGTACAACATTTCACACTAAATTTAAAATAAATGCAGAAAATACGATTGAATTTACTTAATTAAATAAATGAATTGAAATAATATTGAATAATATGGATCCGATAAGTTGCATAAGATTATTAATTCGATATATGATAGTGTCATCGTCGTTATAAGTGTTATTGTTATTAATTTTTTGTTTGTTTTTTTAAATAAAAATAATACTTGCTAAATTGTATTGTTAAATAAAAATAACATGTACGATGCTAACGACTTCATCATACTTATACTTGAACTAGGTAAAAAAAAAGGCTTTGTGCTCCTCCATCCCCCACTCCCGCCAATCACATTGAGCATAAATATATGTTGTATTATGCTTTTCTATGGTCGGCATTTTTCAAATAAATTTCCATGTTGGTCATTTTAGGCGACGAAGAGAACTTTTTTTTATAAAATTTTCTTGACGAGTGTCGTTATCAGTACTCCTATTTCTTACGTCCAGCATTTACTATCTTTTTTTCAATAAATGCTCCCTCGCAAATTTCATTCCATGTATGTTTAAATATTTTTCTGCACTCGTTCTTCTGGTTTAAATTCTTTTAGTTTACGTGAAGCTAAATTCTAATTTCATTTATTTAATCGTGCTTATACTCTTTCCATTTTCGTCTTGTACCATATCTTCTCGAGGCTGAAACATTTACACGATGTTTTTCTCTCGTACAGTTCATCAATTAATATTTTATTCACAATTTTCTTAATAATCAGTAATTAATGGTACAAAGATAGTTGATTTTTTTTAAATCTTCCTTCTCAATCGGAGTCGATGTTTAAGAAATCGATTTTAAGCAATCTCTATAGTTCTAAACTCGAATGGATTATTCAACGTCGATTTCAGTTTTCTCTAATTGCATCATAGATTCTGTAATTAATAGGCAGGAAAATGAAAATGCGACGATAAATCATCTAAAGACAGCTGCCATTTATTGATCTAAATGTTAAGATGAACGGAATTTCGTGAAAGTGTTTGCGATAGTGGTGTAATTTATAGCCGGAAAGCAGAATGGAAAATCATCAATATATTGATAGTAGTTAATGCTAAGAATACTGTTAACATTAAAATTCTGTTGTAACTAAAGCAGAAATGATTTGGGCATATTATTTATTTATTATTCGCGAATATCATCAATAATATCCTATCGAAATTTTTGTAATAAATAATTTAAGATTTGATAAATATGTTTTAACAAATGTTATAATGTTATCTTAAACTTATGATTTGGAACATAATATGCAGCAAATTTCAAAAATGTCTTTTATTAGTAAACATCAATATTACTAAATGATTGATATCATTCTCTTTTTAATTAATAAGTATTTTAAGTTACCGAATATGCCATTCATATAGGAGACATATTTGACAATAGTATAAAGTAAATAAAACAAAAATTTTAAATGTTAATTTAAATGAAAATAAGAAAAGAGTAATTCAGAATTGTTACTGTGTACTATATGCTTGTGCCTGCTTTTTGCTGATAACATTATTAGCTCTCCTTCAATCTCACTCTCTCTCTCTCACACACACACTCTCTCTTTCTCTCTCTCTCTCTTTCTCTCTCTCTCTCTCTCTCACTCTCTCACTCTCTCACTCTCTCTCGCTCTCTCTATCATTAAAAATTCCTTACATAAATCGCATTATAGATATATCGCTTATTTTATGCAACATAAAAAATTGTTATGATTATACCATAATAATTCTAATATTATTGAATATTAAATTTTTAATGTAGTGGTGATAATTTAAAAATCTGAACTTATCGCAATTTAAATAATTTGCAAACTAATTTGCTGTAATACTACATTACAATTATAAATAAAGTGATAGACTTATTGTATTTCAAATAAAACTTGCTTTATAATTAACACGATCAAATGATTGAATTCATTATAATGTCATTATTATTGAATGAAATTGTTATTTTATGACAGTATTTTATCCATATATCATTATATATGTTATACATTGAAACATATATATGTAAACAAAACCAATGATGTATTGAAATCAAAGATAAACATGAAAGAATCAGTATTTGTATCAAGAAATATATATTATTTGTATTATATATAAATATAAGTGTAAAATATTTATACGAAGAAAACGAACGAAAAATACTTCCAAATTTAGAGGTCATAAAGAGTTGAGATTCCAATAAACCTGACAATGATATGATGTGTGTCTTAAGCGACCGAGTGACCGACAATTCCTTCAAAAAACTAAGAATCTCGCCTACCCGTCACAACAAACCATAACTCCACACGATTCGTAAACAATACGTCAAATTTTCAATTTTGCCTTCAGAAATAAATATATAATATAAGCATTTTCGTCAACATATTATTATCTTGTGTACTCATATCCGGGTTGATTAAAACGTTCAAAAAAGATATTCATATAATAAATAAACATTGTTGCCAAACCTATATAAATCATGCAGAATATTATTATGTTTATAAAATTTATATACATTTTCATTATAATTCTAATGATTTAAATCTACCGAATTTTGTATTAAATCGAGTACATTATACCATATATATATATATATACCGTATTTTAACTTTGTCAATAACCTGAAATTGTTTTACTATATTATTTACAAAATCCATTTTCTTTTATTAATAATGAATTTCGTATTCTGCATACGTGAACCGATTTCTTTATCAAGATTTACAAAAAAAAAAGTTAAAATATTCATGAAAAGATTATTTATAAATAAGTGTATATTTAAAAGTAACATTTAAACAATCTTATAAAAGTTGTATAAAGACATTTTTTATTTAACTTTTTTATTAAGTAAAATTTTGTAAATTTATTTGAAAGACTTCAATGTCAATAAAATTTGAGATTTATATGATGGAACAAAGAGCATGGACGAATAGATCCATCCAACAGACACTTTATAATTCCTGAAAACTTGTCTATATAATAGATATTGTAATATATAATAATAATTTGAAGAAAAAAAGAAAATTAATTGTAATTTGTATTATAAATTGTATTTTTATTATAAGTATTTTTAACAATTTATTATAACATGTTGGGTAAAATAGAAATTTTGGGCCGTAGAAAAAATTATTGATAAAACTTACACGATAAGTCGTTGTAAATGTTTAAATATCGATTAAATATTGAATTTTTATATTGCGTGGATCATAAATATTTTATGAATATTCATTATTTTATATATATTATGAAACAAAATTGAATAATTTTTTTATTTAATAAACAGAAAATTTTTACTTTATTTCATAAAATCTCAATAGTTCATAATTGATTCTTTTTAACGCAAATATTCTATTTGAAAATTAATAATCTGTAATAATAATAATAAGCTGTAGTATTAAACATGTCGCAAATTGTTTATAATATTAAATTATAATTCATATGAAATAATTGAAGACAAGTTTTTTGGCTCCGTCACGTAAAAATTCTATAAAATTAAATTTTAAAACATCATCTAACGTATGGGAATGAACGACATGTTTGTGTATTCTAGTAAAAATCTACTAGTTTACCAATCGGAACGATACAACTGAATTGAATTACAAAATATAATAGCGATTAAACTCGATTCATCATGAGCCATAAAAACAAACATCGATTTATAAATGAAATCTCATATTCTTTCGAAATTTTACATACTTAATGCACTGTGTACATAATAGAATCGTCGATTAAATTAACGAATGATGATTAATAGGACTGACTGCTCTTTTCGATTACAGACGAGATAGTCGACAAGGCCCAAAGAAGCGCGTCGCTTTCAAAAGCAAAGATAGCCTCTCCGAAGGTCAAAGGCAGCAGAAAAACGTCCCCAAGAATTGTAAGCTGGACTCTAGTGATGCCGAGGGGAAGCTGGTACAGGGATTGACGCCAGTGGACGAGGATGCCGAGAATCAAGGTTTCAGCGAATGGCTACATTCAGGCCATGGCATTGATACTATGCGACTCTTCGTAATCGCTAACTCGCTTCTCGTCTTCGTTACCGTTGCCTGGCCTCACATGCAGAAAACCTATGCGATTCTATACGAGTTTGTCTTCGGGGACGATGAAAATATTTTCCTTTTCATTCAATATGCTCCAATTGGGCTTCACGATACATACACACAACGAACAATGAGTCTATGTGCTATGTCCGTGCCAGCTAATTAACGTCCACATTACCTTCGTTTCTCCTTTGTATTGCATTTCAATTGCGAATTACTAACATCTTGATATTTGATAGCAATATAATAATAATAATATTCTTATTAACAATTACATTCGTTATTTTACTTGGTTGCTTTTTATTCTTATAATAAGAAAAGTTCAAGGTACAATTTTTTATGTAAAATATACTTATTCAAATAATATTATTTGTTTAAATTCAGCAGCTTTTTGTAACCATTTTTTTTTTTATTTTAAGTTCGTGATAATGACGTTCATTTATAAGAAATAAAACTTGATATGGGCAGTATAGTTATATCGTTATAGCGTTAGAAAAACGTTTTAAAATGGTATTTTAGTATTACAACAAAAACGACTCGGCATTACTAAATTAAATAAGTACAATAATAAAACTTCGCTGTACTTGTGAATTTTTTGCTGATTTGCTTGAGGATCACGACACTCGAACCGTTACAAAAAATACGTTGATTCAAATGCTTTTACTTGCTGGAATATATATAGTATATATATATATATATATATGTGTGTGTGTATGTAATGCAACTGCGATGTTTAATGACACTCGTCTATGACTTTCAGTCAATACTTTTCCTAATAATTAAGCGAAACGCAAAAGCAATGTTAGCTTACATATTTCGAGGATTTTTCCTCATAGGAATTTTGAGTTGGTACAGTATGAGTCTTTGGAAAATGATCGATAGCTACTTTAAGGATCAATTCCAGCGCTACCTTGACGAAGAGTACGTGAGGAACCCGAAAATGCGCGAAGATATCCATTTGCACACCGCAGTCGATAAGTTGGATAAACTGAGTACCGACGCCCCCCACGAGCAATGCAATCAGCTTTTGAATTGCACCGACGACGTCGGCTTAATCGGTCAAACAGAACGCGAATTGGGACCGCCAGACAACTCCAGCACAGAAGCAGGTGTTGATGAAGGAGACCAGGAGAAGAAAGAAGAGGATGAAAAGAGAGACGAGAGCCAGACGCCATACTGCATAAAGTGCGACGAAGACGACGACGCCGAGACTCCGAAGGAGCGAAACGAGCCGCCGCCAACGCCGCCAACGCCGCCATCCATCGCGAAAAAGTAACATCCAAGATTTTTCTTGCTTTTCGTTAATAGGCGTACTCGGATTTGGAAAATCATTCCTTATTCATTTTGAATTTTACTTAATTAAAACAATACATTGTCGAACTCGATCAATGAAAATAACTATTAACACATGCAGTCAATTGAAAATTCTTTTATAAACGTGTGGTCGGAAAGCAAATTTGATTGGAAATTTTGTTGCCACATAAGGATTTGCCGAGAGAATATATATATATTTTAAATTATATATAATTTTATTTTATTTATTATAATTTAATTATATATAAATATATATAATTTTTAATCAGTTATTGTGTAAATTATTATTTTTGTTCAAACTTTTATGACGATATAACGTAGATAATTTCATTGCAAAGCTCTTGTTTAATATTTAAGTAAATTGATTGGAAAATAACAATTGGAAAAATCTTCTTTTTAATGTGCAGAATAGAATTTTAAAAAGTAAGTTTCATTAAATGATTTTGAAACACTAGGATGTAAAAATTTTTTTTCTTTCATTTCTCTCTCTCTCTCTCTCTCTCTCTCTCTCTCTATATATATATATATATATATATATATATATATACAATTATCTTTATTCTTTATAAATGATAAGGATAATAGTAATCGTGGAAAATTGTGATGAACAAGAAAAACTTTATTGGTGAATTAAGATTGTAGTATTTGTGTAGCTGTAATTTAAATGGATTTCAAATTTGAGCTTTTAAAAGTAAAGAGGCGTCAATTATTAATTATAAAAATAATTTTGTAGTCTCCTATAATTATTTATTACTTTATTAGTTACTAAATTACAAATCGATTATCGGTTTACTCCAGCCACCCACCCACACACACACACACGCGCGCACGCACGCACGCACGCACACACACACAGACACAAAACAATTAATTATTACTTTGAAATATTATAAAATATAAGTTGACGATTTTTATAGATTTTTTTTAATAATGAGGAGTATTAAAAAAATATATATATATTATCAGTCCATATTTTATGTAGTGTAATAAGCATTTAAATGACAACTTACATAGAACAATTAAAAAATGTTTCTAATAATTAAAACTACAGGCACTGTATTTTTAATGATAAACAATTGAAGCGCAATACACAATTGCTCTTATTAATAATGCTATCATTATTATTCAAGCAAAATAATTATATTATATATAATATAATTAGGTAATATAATTATTTGTTCCAGGATTGATGATAAGGCGTTTGCAGCAGGTAGGGAAGAAACAGAGCAATTATCATTATTTGATAAAACCGAAGAAAGCAAAAGAAACCAAATGAATGAAAGGGATAAGGAAGAGCAAGAGCAGCATCAAAAGTCAACAAAACGAAGATGGAGCAATGGATTAGGCGTTGGCGCGAAGTCGGAGCGAACCACCAATAGTAATAAGAAACTCCGTCAAGGGATGCACGTGATAACCTTTAGGGACGATAAGTTTAAGTCGGTCACGCGGAAACGAAGAGTCACGAAGGATGAGGACGGCTGGGACTTTGCCGAGTTTCTCGACGAGGGCGACCGAGCGTTGCGGGACAAGGAGGAGGAGGAGGACGTAGATGCGGGCATTTCGCTGGCCGACTTGCCGTACAAACCACTGATCGACGTTTACGATTTACAGAGGTTCTCCCAGGAGGAATTTTGTCCACTTACACTTGAGGATGATACTTCGTGCGATGAGGCGCGATCCTGGCCTTAACCCTTCACATCCATAACGCCTATCGTTCGAACGATAATCAGTTTAGAGGAGCAAAATTGTAAAGCTGACGAGTCGTTTGGTAATAATAATAAACGAGGTTAGAATGTATTTAAAATAGGTAACTATCGTTGCTAATCAACCGATCACACCTCCCATAATTGTCGTTGGTGTACGTTATAAAAGCGGCGCTGCTCATTATTCAATAACGCAATAATGGCTTAGGATCGTTCATTTGGATCAAAGGATGAATTTAATATCTAATTTCATGAATTTATTTATACCAAGCATACTTGGCATAATGTTATTTCGTAGTTTAATAACAAATAAAATAAGCGCGTGCAATAACGATTTCTTCGATACGTCAGTCATAAATTTAGAATAACATGCACTTAGAATTTTTAAGAGACCATCAAAAATCATGTGTTTCAATACTCTGCAATTTTTCACCCACAATTTCTGCGAATTTACTTCGTAATATTCTTCTATTTATATAAATGAAATTTACAATAGGAACAGCAATAAAATCCGTTCACTTTTTATAGGTCAAGTGCAGTACAAAATTTCCACTTTCATGCGCAATGGGTAGAGATATAGCATGTGTGTAAAGTGAGGTTCGAGCTAAGAAGGGAAACGTGAGCACTTAATCTTTTATGCGGAAAAAAGGAAAAAAGGAAGACTACGAGCGCGTTGAGCTGTATACCGTTGCTACTACTCCAATTCGTGATTTTAGACTCGCGAGAACAGCGAAACGAATGAAGCAGCGAAGTATTCCGAGACTGATGCTTTATTACATATTCAAGCGTTCGTTAAAATTGAATAGGAGGATTAGCATACCAAAGGCTTATTTGCTTAAATAATTCATTTCTAGAATTTCATATTGTTCGACCGACATTCAACAATTAAACGCCTTGTTTTGAATTCCACGAATGATGCTTTAGCTTCTTGTTGAAATCTTGTTAATTACGAAAACAAAGCGTACTATTTGGTAAATCATAAATGGGAACATTTTTCATTGTTGATATGCCTTCATGTTTGATTTGAATTGTTGATATTTAGGGTAGTATCGATAAAAAAAATTTTATGTAACATCAAGTAATGTAAGCTGTTATTCAATTCAACAATGTAATCATTCATAATACTGTGCAATAGGACAATTAAATTAAAAACAAAGTGAATTATGATTTTATGATCAAATTATAATACTGTAAAATAAATTTCATCTTCATACTATCCTTTGTAAATTGTGGTACATTTTAAATATAACAACTTTAAATAAGCTAATGCCAAAATCACGCGGTTTCCTAATTATTTATGATGTTAGTAACGAATGTTTGCGAATATTTAAAAATCTGTTTCCATTACAAAATTAATTCAGTTATAATAAACTATATTTAAAAATCTTCGTAAATACCAACGAATGAATTGAAATTTATAATCCAATACATCAATATTCCTAAATGATAACATACGAAAATTATATTACGTTTCATTTATGATATAAGTTTAAATTATTCTAATCTTACATTTAACTTTTCAATAAAAAATTAATTTATTAAGTTAGTCCGTTTCTTTCTTTTACCTATTTATCATTGTTTTAATAATTATTTGACTAAATATAATTTTAATAATATTTTTTTAAAAACATTTTCTATATGAATTTAAAACATCTACACGTATTTAAAGAATTTTTAAATAATATAATTAAAATCAGCTTTGAATTTATGTCGTGCAAATTAAATAATAATCTAATGAATTATTATTTAGCAGTTATGTGCGATTATTAGATGGCGGTGAGAAATAAAATATATTTTTATCTACCAAATACCGAATTGAATAAGTGATCGAACACCAAATACAAATTAATTTAAGATAAATAAAGAGTTTCTTACAATCACGCAATAATTATCGAGGTAATTTAAATTTCAAAGGAAACTCTCCCATCTCGGTAGCAAGTTAATTAAAAGTGTTACACATGCTTCGACAAACGAGTATGCTGAAACTTATGGTTAACGAAGTTTTAGCAAAGAAAATGAAGCAGAAAAAGAGACGAAAAATCTAACGTGCATTCCACCATAGAGCGTTTGATATCTCCCAAAAAAAGAAGTAAGCGATATATATATACATACATACATATATATATATATACACATATACACATATACACATATACACGTATACGCATATACACATATACGCATATAGTAGTAGTGCGAGCTGAATTTACGTATCGCATAATTTACAACTACTCGTAAACGAAGCCCGGAAGCTTACCGGAAGCCGAAGTATATGCTTACTACGTTGGGAAGCTGCGCTCTGTGCCGTGAACAACCGGCGGCAACTGCGCGAAAGTCGACGACGTCTCCTTCCCTCAACCGTAAGCATCTAGATTTACGTGGGTAGGATAGTGCGTGGCCCGATTACCCGAGCAGACTAACCATAACGACTTTTCGATTCCGCCGATTAACCAACGAGCGAGCATCGCCAGAGAAATAGGTAGTCTGATAGAAGGAGGGAGAGAGAAGGACACACGGAGAGAAAGAGAAAAAGAAAGAGAAAGAGAAAGAGAGAGAGAGAGAGAGAGAGAGAGAGTGAGAGAGAGAAAACTGCAGAGAGGAGCCAAGGAAGAACAGAAGCTTCCGTTGCATTGGTCTGGGGATCAGCCTCAGCCACTGTGTATTCGCTTGAAGATGCCGATTGTGAATTTAAAAGCCGTAGATTTTTTACAGCCTATAAATTGCTTCTGGAATATTTTTACTCACATTCTTATATTTAGTGGGAGAACTCAATGAATAGCTTATTTTTATGTTCCGTAATTTTTATTCCTAAGATTTTTCCCGTTTCCCGATGGGATAAAACAGAGACAAGGGAGAATTTGTGTCATATATTTCAAGTTACCATTGATTTATTAACATTTCAACTTTGCATATGAAACTCAAGTAATGCTTTACTGGTTGACAATAGTCATATATAATCATCAAAGTTGACTCTTACTTATCATTTGAATGTAAATGAAATTACATTTGTGGATATAAATTATTTACCATAAATGTTCTGGTTTAAACACATATTTTATTAAGAAAGATATTTACTTATTTGTAGTTAACAAAAAAAAAAAAAAAAAAAAAAAAAAAAAAAGTAACGAAAACACGGTTTATAAAATAATTAACATCTCGTCTTCTGATAAATTTTTATACGTGCCAACAAATACGTTCATACGTTTTATAAATTAATAATTATTTTAAGCCAAAGAAGATAAATTATAAAATGTATTTATATGCTTTATGAATAATTTATTCGCTATTTGACTATTCAAAATTCTAAATTATACTAGCAAAAAAATTTTTAGTTATACACATTCGTAAAATAATATAAAAAATCATAATGTTTATTTTACTTTATAATTTAAATTATAATGCATATAATACCGAAGTTTCTAGAAGAATAATCTTATTTTACATGTTTGCATTCTAAATCAGCATTAATCCGTTACTTTCGAATGCTTGAAAGAAATACGTTTGCTTTTCATTTCCTATATTTTTTTCCCTTATATTATTATAATGGAGCTGAAAAGTTAACGGAATATTATATAAAAATAAGATCATATATTACTAGAACTGTTCAATATTTGAATATCATCAAAGAATAATTCCTACCTTTACAATAACATGTAAAATTATGATATTTAAAATTAAAATCATACCATTGTTATTTAATTTAATCGGTATTTAGGAAAAAAAATCTACTTAAAATTTTGAATTACATCTACATAAATATTGCAGATTATAAAACAGTAATAATAATTTTCAATCGCAATAGCATTAATTTTGTAATTTTTTCTAATAGACGTGAAAATAAAGAAAAAAATTTTTTTATATGGATGCAACGTAATTTTTTTAATAACTTTCATTGTGTTTATTTTGATATTGAAAAACAATTCATTGATATAGGACATTATTTTTCTTCTTATTAATTTACATATTAACAAAATATCTTGATATATCAAACTGTTGATAATTAGAAAGTCATAGTACACGATATTTTTCTTAATTTCATAGAGATAATACAATTAATTTCATATTTTTATAGAAAGAACGACTCATTTATGAAAATTATTTCGCTTCTTCCATGAAGTAAATAAAAATGTTTAAAGTCAGATTTTCTCGTTTTTTAGACTATTGCTTTCTCTACATTGCTAAAGTTTTACGTATTTTTAGATATTGCATAAAAAAAGAAAATGCAATATATTTTTTAATATTTGTATAAACCATACTATATTTTTATTATAGAAAGAAAATTTAAGTATATTGTTATAATTTCATTCTGTACACTAATTTTCGTAATATCTAATTCAAAAAAAAATTTATAAAATCATCTTTTAACACTTATTATTTTATTACTCATCAAAATTTTCTCATAAAATGAAAAATAAACGAGTTTGAAAAAAGTTTTTTTTTGTTTTTAATATTAGCATAAAATTCATAATAGAAATGAAAAATATTTTCACAATGACATTTCAATAATCTATTATTCGCTTTCGTACGTGTACATTGGAAATATAATACGTTTAGTAATAACGTATAATTTTTTACAAATAGGTATATTTCTTTTTTTACTAATTTTGTTACAAATAAACATTCTTTGATAGCTTTGTATCGACTCTTAAACAATACTTTAAACATCAGTTTATATAGCCAATTAAGCATGTTTGTGAAAGTAACAATGTCGTATAACAGTAGTATTTATTTGTTGACATTTATTAACTCGGCAGAAATATTATGTGCATTGAATTCAACTCATACTAAATTATATTTATTGCTCAAATTAATGTTTAAAAATGTATGAATTATATGTCCAAAACAATATGAGTATCTTTATTATTTTTATAACTCAAATATGATGAAAATTGGCGTTTAAGTAAACGTTTATGACTTCAATATTTACTTATGACATTTCAAAATTACATTTCTATATGACAATTTCACTCTTTCAAAGAAATTATTTTTGTAAATTAATCAAACATATTACAGCAACTAAGGGATAACATTTTTCTAAAGGCATTTAATAAAT